TATATATATATATATCTATATGTATATATGGTTCGTTTTTTCCTTGGAAATCACAATGAGATGGAAAATGACAATGGATAAGAGATGAGGAAGGAAATAAAAGAGATGAGGAGGGAAAGTGAATAAAGGTAACATCAATAAATAGTGTTTTCTCACTTTTATTGAATTTTGAAGCCAAACGATGAAGCGCACCTTCATTTGATATTTGATGGGTTTTTTTTTCCCTTAGGTATTTTCTTATTAAAAAAATTATATTCGAGAATTATCAAGTATTAAATATGAATATCTCTTTTAATAAAAATTTAAATTTTAATTCATCATAACGTAAGAGACTAACCATTTTCATTAGACTCAACCCCCATTAGTTGATGGGGCGTTTTTACTTTCACAAATTTATATCTAGAATCTTTGAAGTTAAATAAATTTTTGTTTATTATATAAAAATAAGTTAAAATTTCATGGAAAAATCTGGGTAAAAGTTCATGATTAGAAAATTAATTAGTGAATAGATGGCAAAAAAAGAAAATTAATCAGTGAATAGCACATGAAATTCGGCATACTTGTACTTTCTGTGTATTAAAACTATTAAAAATATGATTTTAGGTATCATTTTTCAATTAACTTTTTAATCAGGCATTTGCCACCAATTTCCTTAAAAAAAATTATATTATTTAAAGTTGCGAATCATATTTTAACTATTATTCATGATCTATAAATACCATAACTCTCTCTAAATTTGATTAATATTTTTATGCTTCCTTCTAGAAGAAGTAATATACCTTCTTGTTTTTAATAATATTACATTATAATATCAGTCAATTACAAAGCAATCTATTGGCGTGATTAAACTTATATAAACACGTATTATTTATAATTACTGATAGTAGGAATAATTTATATTTCATGTAATATCAGAGGTTAATAGGAGCTTTTTTTTTTCCTACTCCTAAAATAATAAAATATTTTGAACTAGTTTAAAAAAATTTAACATTTTAAAATATTTTTTAATATTAAAAAATCAGGGTAATTGGCTCATTTGACTTTTACTTGCAACATCGTGACTCACATTTATTGCCTTTTCCTTTCCATCGATCAGACCATGCAAATTGAGACATGTGTCCTCAGTCCTCATCTCAAGGATGACTAACATTTGTTAGGATTCAAAATTTAGTTTGAATAATTTAAATTTAAAATTTGAATTTGTAATTTTTTAAAAAGTATCAGTTAGAAAATTATTTTCATTTTAAAATTTCCTATATATTAAAAAAATGATTTAAAACATTTAAAAAAATTTAATTGAATCTGATTTTAGATGGTACATATTAAGATGAGTGTGCCATAATATCCTTTTTATGAGCATGGAATGTGGATCGTAAATTAAATGCTCATCTGGTATTGGCTGAGATAAAGCCCCTCTCATATATTTATAAAAGTGTAGAATTCATTTCAATAATAAGTAATAAACATTATATTTAACGTTGGGAGCCATGGATGAGATGAGACCCATGTTCTATTATTTATTTAAGAAAATATATTTCAGTAAATACTACTCCTCCGGTCCTTATTATAAGACCCCATTTGACTTTTTATTTGGTCCTAATTATAAGACCCAAATCCATTTTGTCTCTTATATTTATGTATTTTTTTCCAAGATAATCCTTCTAATAATGATAGTTTTAGCCAATATACTTAATTAGCAAGGATATTTTAGGAATGACAACACTTATTTATTACAAATAACCAACTTAACTTACTTCCTTAATCTCCTCAAATAAGTCAATTGGGTCTTATAATTAGGACCGGAGGAGTACTATACATCACTCTAGTGCAGTAAATAATTATCAATTCAAGACCACCAATAACAACTTTATTTCCTCCCTTAGAAGGAAGAATGTGTCTATTTAAAAAAGAAAATAATACTTACTCAGGTCATCTAAAGCTAAACACGATAGAATAAGGTGTGGATATAAATCAAGGGGGGTTTTTTTTTTTTGGGTCAAAAGGATCTAAATCAAGGGTTTGATCCCTGCTAATGTATAAACAATATTTATACAATTTTAAGTAAATATTTTTGAGTAAAGCATCCAACACCATGATATTATTTTCTAAATACATAAAAAACCCTAATCTTATTTATGATGCATATAACATTCTGATGTTATTTTTCTGGTATTTTAATTTCATTTATAATGCATCCAGTATCCTAAACTATAAATAAGATTAAAGTGTTGGATGCAACTGAAAAATAAAATTAGGAGGTGCTACATGTGTCAAGAAAATAATATCAGAGTACTTGGTGCTTCATAAATAAGATTAGAGTGGATGTACCTAAAAATCAGCATCAGCATGTTAGATATTACTCCACCGCGTGTCTTTTTCCAAATGAAAAAGAGATACTCCTCCGGTCTTTAATATAAGACCTATTTAACTAATTTGATTAGATTATGAAAGTTAGGTAACTTAATTAATTATAAGAAAAGTGACAAATTTTTCCTAAAACAGCATAGTCATCTTTTTTAATGTCCAATCTTCCTCTTCTACTTGATTATGGCTGAGAGAGTATTCATAGGGGTAATTTAGAAAAAATTGATAAATATAAAAAATGAGTCTTATATCTAGAACTAAAACCAATTCAAGAATTGAATCCTATATTAAGGACTAGAGGAGTATTATGGTATGGTAGTTAACAGGAGAGTACAAACAACAAAATTAAAACAGGTGGCATAGCTCTCACTAGACCATTTCATGGGGCGATGCACAACAAAAAATCCTTTAAAAAAAAAATCTAAAGTATGAGAGCTCATTTTTCATATTGCAGATGTGGTTGTGTGTGTGTGTGTACACACATATATACAGTAAAGTGTGGTCCATAGTGAAGATTTTTATGATGTTAAAACAAATATAGAAAGAGGATGGAAGGTGGGTTACGATTACAAGTGTAAAAAGTATTATAATGAAAGCACTAAATCCATTTACACTTTCTGGTCATCACATGTCTGCTAGCTTATTCCTCTCCAAAGTGTTATAATTCAAATTGCTACCACCTGTCAACTTGCCAAAAATAATTAGGCGTGCACCTGAGTTTATTTTTCTTGGAGATTAAAAGCAATTATTAAAAAAAAAAATATTATATTAAAAGTTAACTTTTCTTTTTTCCTTTTTAACGTTGATTCTACATTCCTGATCTCTTTGTCTCTCTCGTAGGCCCACTGGTTGTTACCGACAATTGAACTCGGAACACTCAAAGGTATGATATCCGAGTATTGAGGCTTGATCATGAGGATTAGATTCGCTAAGTATTGCTAATCTTTCTCTAGTTACTTGCATAATGTCAATATCCTTTTGAACTGTTATGGATTCATATACATTATTTAGGATTATTATTATTATTATTATTATTATTATTATTATTATTATTATGACTTTATCTAATAAATACATTCAAGTCATATGAGATTATTGAGATGGTAAAAAAATGAATTATCTTGTAACTGAAAACTATATTAAACTCTACAAGACTATAGTACTAACAAGAAGCGAATGGGCTTAGTTACGTGAATAACACGGTTTTTGTATAAAATATTTGAACCACTTTAAGTGATTTTTTATCTTTTTTTTTTTTCAATAGACCCCATGTTGTCTGCTTTTTTCCCCCCAAGCACAAGTATTTTTTTTATTAGGGCCAATCATATTTGAGACACTATCTATGATTTTGTTTCTCTAGATGCAGCCGTAGTTATTCAGAAAATGTGTCTACGAGAGAGAAGTATCCACACCTTTATAAGGCATGCTTTGTTCCTCTCTCTAGTTAATGTGGGACTTCACACATACTAAATATGAGCACTTTTTTTAACAAAAATATGAATATTGGTTTGTCACATTAGGATAGACTAACCTTTCCTATTAGTGGATTTTGCTTTAAACTTGAATTGTTGGTAGTGGATTTTGGGTTCGAATAAAAAAAAAAAGGTGGCGCAAGGAAGCCCAAGGCCGGAGTTATTATTGATTCAACCAAAAAGGCCCATCTGAATTTTTTGGTACAAAAGCCCCATCCGAATTGGATTCTCTTGTTGGGATGATGGCTGAAGTTCCTTTAAAAAGGATCATTTTTTGACCAAAAAAGCCCATCCCAATGTTTTTCTACAGAAGGCCCATCCTAATTGGGTTCTCGTCTGGGGATGATTGCCGAAGTTCCTTTAAAAATCATCTTTTTTTTTTTCTTGCCAACTAAAAAATGATCATAATTTGTACCAAAAAAGATGTGAGTTATATTAATAATACTTTATTGTAAATAAGAGATTGTTAGCAAAATTAGGAAACATTTTTCACAAATAACTAATATACTTAATTTTCTTAATTTATATAAATTAATTAATTAAGTCTTATATTTAGAAAGAATTACAATGAGATTCCAAATAAGAAAAAAATTGAAAAACAAGTCTCAAAAGTTGTCATTCTCACTGTAAGATTTGTCATTGACATTATAGGCTGTTGAGGTTGTTATTAAGACCTTTTAGTAGTTATTTTTCTTCTCTAAAACTTGATTGTAATTACCCTTTATATTTATGATACAATTGAAATACTTTTAGAAAAACGTTGGCAAAACTTTTAAAAGAAACGTTATGTAAAATAAAAATTAAAAAAGACGAGAATTAGTAGTGCTACCTCCGGTCCTTAATATAAGATTCTGTTTGATTTTTATTTTGATTCTAAATATAAGATTTCAATCCACTTTGTCTCATATATTTATGCATTTTTTTTTCTAAAAGAGTCCTTTTAATAATTATAGTCCTAACTAATATAGTTGATTGGTAAGGATATTTTAGGAAAGACAACATCTATTTATTACAAATAACTAACTTAACTTTTTTTTAATCTCTTTAAATTAGTTAATTGAGTTTTATAATTACGACGGATGTAGTATTATATATCGGCCAAAGGAATGTTTAGTGACGGCTGATTGGCATTGCACTGTTCAATCCCCTGTTTCCGCAGTCCCAATCCCGCTGTCCTAATCACACAATCCGTTCCCCTCCTTCTCGATTCAGCTGTGTGACCGAGAGCCTCATCTCTCTGTACAAGGAATCTTCAAGCCGATCCTGTTCATTTCGTTCGTCCAAGTCGAAGTAGCCCACAGAACTCCCATCTTCATACTCAAAGATCGAGGTCCAGTAATGTCAACTCCTTGGCTGCGAATCTCACTTGCTACCACACAAGCTCGACGCCTATAGGAACAAATTCTGAATCTCTCTCTTATTGTGGGTCACGGCTATGCACAGACAGAAAGCCATCTCCGTTCAGTTTTTGCAGCCTCTGTCCTCAGTTGCATGTTCATCTCCGCTATTTAACTCTCTTCAAAAGTCACGCCCTTTGACTTGGTACACTTACTCTCTTATCAATGCTTCTGGTTGTTTCTCATTTCTCTTGTTATTTTCTCTCATTATTGATTCATGAAATGGGCAATCAACCAGACCTTTTGCTAGTGGGTGGTTTAAGCTGGCCAGTGTGTGAGGCCTGACGGATTTGCTGATGCTTAAGTTTGGTCATAATTTTTTTTCATTTGTTTATTTTCCTTCTATTACCTCATTGGGAGCTCCATTGAGCCACTGAATGTGAAGCGGGTTGGGTTATTGTTGGGTTTAATCGAAAAGGCCAAATTGAAGTGAAAAGGGGTCATATTATGTTGATGATGGTTTGGTAACATTGAATTCTGGGATTTCTGTAGGCATTACGGCACTGGTATGTTGGTATGTTAATAAGATGACACCGATCGTTTCTCCAATAATAATTATTACATTGGTGTGTTTAGTAGGAAATGACATGTCTTCTGTTTCAAATAGACTTTGCAATAATAATTTTGGTGGAAATATGCAATGCTACTGTCTCTCATATGTTGCTTTGATGGCTTTATGTGGAACCGAGACAACTTTACTATCCCGCAATAGTATGTTATTATTCTAGGTTGGGATTAGCTCAGAAATCAAATAGTCTAAGAATGAGTTTGGTTGTGAATTGGGCGTGAACTCGTTTAAAACTTGATCATAAACATGTAAGTATATTATATGGAGTCATTTAATGAACTCCATTTGCGTCCAGATTTCTCAATAAAGTTAAGAGTTGCTTTTGGTTCTTTTCACTTAATTGTGCAGCATGGTGATCTGTTTTTCCTTTGAGTTACAAGATGGATCCGTTTTAATGATTTGGGGATTCTTTTGTTGTTTTTGTAATGATATAGGTAAAGCGACTGTGATGAGAGCATTCCTTTTGCTGCCTTCTGTAGTTATGTTATTTGCTATTAGCTGATCTGAAGTTTAATTTTTCTTTTTTACTTGATGCTTAGGTTAATTGATTAATTGATGAACCACGCCAATCATTATAGTCTTCCTGAGCTATCTATTGATAGATGGTAGTTGGTACGACAATGGATGCTGTAAAAAGGGCTTGGTGAAGTATAAAACAGTCCTCAGGGTTTACTCCTGTAGGCAATTTGCTTTGCTGATCATTCTGATTCCTAAATCGGAACTTAGAAGATTTAGAAGATTGACTGGCTTATTGCTAATCCTTTTAAACTCTGCTCAGCTCTCTTCTCTCATATAAGCGTTCCTTGCTGATGAAGTGATACCTGGTTTTGCTGTAGCCCAGAGGACCCCTGATTCAGCAAAGTAACCCCTCCCTCTTTTGGAGGGAAGACAAAAACAGGAATGCACAACGCATATTTTAGCTCCACCATATATGCTATTCGGAGTAAAAGTTCCTTCTCTTTATCATTCAATGATTACCCAAACGTGTCATGTGAAAGATTTGACAGAGTCCCATCATGCCGCCCCTCATGCTGTGGTTGTTGTCATGGCTGTGCACTCTCCACCTGTAGAGTATCCTTAAACCCTAGTCTTCTATTTGGGTTGAGACAATCCACTTTGCTTCAATTGTCAGCATCTAGAAGGTTGATTTTGGATGGAAGAGACCGATATTTCTCCCAGCTAGCAGCGTATGGTCTCAATAGAGATTGCTATGAGCTTGATTGCTCGTTCAGTGAGAGAAGTGTTCCTAACAGAAGTAAGAGGAGAATAAATCAAAGGTTTTTTTGCTCAGTTTCGGAGGAAGAGAGTGGAACTAACCATTCTTTTGGTTCTGACGATGCTGAATCAGTTATCAGCTTATTGAGTGAGGAGGCAGATGGGAATTTTACTTGTTTTAGAGCAAAGAATGTTTCGTCATCCAAGAACTTGGATATGGAGAAGAAGAGGAAAAATTGGAGGAGAGAGAGAAATCAGAATTCAGGTAAGAAAGAAGTAAAGAAAGGAAATCTGAAGCATCTAGAGACCTTGACAAGAGACTTGAGGAAAGAGGATGAAAAGCTCAATGAAGAAAAGAAAGCTGTTGCAAAAGGTGGACACCATGGGAAACGAAGAGATGTTTCTAGTTGCTCATCTTATTACTCCTTTTCATCTTTAGGAGATATGGTTAGCGACCTGGAAGTTGAAGATAAGCATGGGAAATTTTTGGAAGAATTATCAGTGGAGGAGGACAAAACAAGTCATATGGAGGAACAGGTGAAGGAAGAATTCAACAGGCTAAGAAATGACTCAGAGAAGCTGGAAGAAATTTCAAACCAGGAAAGAACTGCATATCATGCTGATATTGATTGCAGTCTAAGAAAGAAGTCTGAGAAGAAGCTGACGGAGGTAACTACAGAAGAAAAGTTAGGGAAAGAACCCCAAGACATACATCCAAGATTGTCTGGGAGGCATGAATCTGGTTATGGAAAAGCCTCCACATCTCACAAACAATTTGAAAGCGAGGATGACACTTCATCTCTGATTAGAAATTCACTTAAGAAAGCAAGAGAGGACCAGATTCAAATTTCAAACCGAAGAAAGTATCAATCTACAGAAATACAAGAGTCTGATGGTTATGAAGCCGAACTGAAAAACACATTTGGTGGCAGGGAAGGGAACCTAGAGATATCAGGAACACTGTTCCGGGAAAAAAATTATGGACAAAAAAGTTTTGTTGATTCTAGCACTAGAAAGGATGTGTTGAGTAAGAATAATCAGAAGAACTTTGAAAAGTCAATAATTGAAGGTTCAGAGGTGGGGTCAAATACTAGGATGAAGAACCTTGAAGAGGACAAAACTTCAGTTCGAAGTTCAGTTGGGAATATGGAGGAGCATCACTACCAAAAAGGGGACAGGGTCATTACGCAAATTGAAGGGAGAAGAAAATTTCAACTATCTGAATTATCACAAGTCCAGGAGACTAATGTTGAAACTGCCTCCACAGTAAAGTCTAGTAATATAATAAAGAACCAGAAAGATAATTTAAAGTTGTATTCACATGTAAAAGGGGTACGACATGGAACAGATATGAAGGCACCTCAAAGTAGGAAACAATCTGAACTTGTACACTCCGTTTCAAAAGGTCATGCCAGCAATGAAAAGCTGGTTTCAAGATCTCAGGGAGTTTCTGATGAGATGAGGTTGTTCAAAGATAGTAGCTTGACATCAATTAACGCAAGAGACACAAGAGAAAGTTATTGCCAAACGGATGAAAGAATTACGCTGATCAAATCAAGCAATGAGGCCCAGCAACCTACAAACCAATCTATCTTAGATGAAAATATCTCAAAAGAGGCTCAGAGCTCTCGAGAATCATTGAACTTAGTTTCTGAGGGTAGAAAGCAATATGTTATATTGGCAGAAGGTGGTGAAAGTAGTTCAGATGCAATGTTCGTTCCTTCCTCATCTAAATTGATGAGAAGAGGCTCAACCCGTGATGAACTAGACCCTGGAACTTCAATCCCAGAGGTCCGCCCCAACACTTCAGAAAGTGTCTCATCGGCCTTGTATACCAATTCAGGAGGAAGAAGTCCAGCTTTGCAATATGAACTATGTTCTACAGATGGAAGTAGTCAGGTTTATAGTGATGCTTTAAATATTTTAGCCCCTGAGGATGCTCTAGCTTCAGCTGATCGCTTAGAGAAATCATCCAAACAGTTTGTGGATGAGTTTGTTCAGAAGGCCAGGCATGAGGTTGTGCCTGAAACGCAAGAAATGGAAATTACTGGAACCAAATTGTCCACTGAAGATGAGAAGAATCAGTTTTACTGTGGAAGGCAACAGAATACTCAAAAAGTTTCTAAGTCAAGGGAGCGTGATTCGAGTCATTCCTCTGGTTTCTCTGGGGCAAAAGGACCTTCTGATGAAATGTGGGATGAGCCAGAATCATCCATTAAACAAAGTCCACCAGCTGAAGAAGCAGAGGCCAGTCTTGTGAGAGAGAACTCAATTGTCAAGAGAACAGGTAGGACCCTATGGGGAATCATTGCAGATGTTGTTCGACTACGGTGGCATTCACGTGCTGATGACTCCACTTCAGCCTCAAAATCAGGTGAAAGAGACTCATCAAACAAGTCTGACAATGACACATGGTTTTCTGGCCAGGAGCCTGAAGAAGCTGGCAAAAGTAAAGTAATAAAGGAAAGAACAAGTGTGCGAATACAAGCTACAACTCCTGACCAATTACAACCTCAAAAATCTCATACACAAAATGAGGGAGATGTATTTGACACTATGAAGTTGACTGACAAAGGAGAACATCTTGAGGCTGGCACGTCATTTTCTCCTAATGAATTGGGAAGTGGATCAACATCTATGGGCATCTCCTCTGCTACTGGAGAGGGAAACGCTAGTTGGACTGAAGATGGAAAAGATTTCCGAGTCAGTACATCTGGTGCTGGAACCATGGAATTATCAATACCTTTACCTGCTAGGCCACCTTTGGTAGAAGAAATTGTAGATACTGGTGGAACTGAGTCACTGGGACGAATGGAGGATCCCGTTGCTCCGAAACAGACTGAAATATCTGTCATGGGAAGAAGGGATGCAGAGCTGAAGCAAAGGAAGCTTCAACGGAACAAGCAAGTCATAAGGGACAGGTTTGATGAGTGGGAAGAAGCTTATAAACTTGAACTTGAGCAACGAAGGATGGATGAGGTATTTATGAGGGAAGCACTTCTGGAAGCCAAGAAAGCTGCTGATACATGGGAGGTGCCTGTTGGCGCTGTACTTGTGCGGGATGGGAAGATTATTGCCCGGGGATGCAACTTGTATGTATTATGCAACTTCCTTATCTTTTGCAATTTCCTTATCATTGTTATTTATATAAATATATTTGTTTCAGGGTGGAGGAGTTACGAGACTCTACAGCCCACGCAGAAATGATTTGTATACGGGAAGCTTCAAATCTTCTGCGGACATGGAGACTTGCGGTAAGTTTCCATTGCTAAAGTACTGTAGATATTTCAACAAAATTTCAACATTTGTTATGTATTCCCCCTCCATTGGTTTTAGTCTTGGATTACTAACTTAACCTGTGATGATATCTGTGCGCTAAAATCTTAAATCCTCCCGCATTGGATTGATCCCACCATCCTTTTATGGACAATATAAGTAAAAATGCTGTATTTTTAGACTGCGGATACCTATTATCTGCTAATAATGGCAAATGTTACTTAGCACATTAGGTGCTTAGACTTGCTGTAGGAACACTACTGATAGTGGCAATGGGAAAGCAATTATATCTTTACTAATTTTGTAGATTTTGTTGAAGTCTATTTAGATATCTACAACAGAAGATTATCGAAGGAATCCATCCTTGGAACATGTAGTAGCAGTATATGTATATGTCTAAATCATTATTCTTGAATTCATTTTAACTTTGAGATTAGATTAATATAATATAGATAAACTCAATCCTAATTACAGAATTAGTTCGTGAACTTTGAATCATAAGTGCCTTGAACTTTGGACTAAAATGAGAACGTTAAATTTCGGTTAAAATTAATTATGAGAAGGCGTATTTTGTTGATTGTGAAGGCTGTGCTTGGCTTAGACCGACGTTTGAACCTTCAATAGCTTTCCTTCTTGTTAGAAAATGTTAACTTGGATTGAAGGTTTTATTTTAGTTCAAGGTTTAGGGGAGGCGTATGGTTGGTTACATTGTATAGTTCATGTACTGATTTTGTAATTAGGATGTTCAGAGGGTCAAGTGTAGTTTTCCCTAGATAATATTTTAAAATTACATTGGGATAAAATTTTCATGCTAAATGCAATGGCAAAGTTTGAGTTACCCAAAGGACAACATAGTCATCTGGTCCATTTGAAGCAATGGTTGATGTGAACTATTTATTGTACTTGATGCATTCTGCTATTAGGATAGGGTGGTTATTATCTATATTATAAGTTAAATATAGAGTATGCTAAAGGAAATAAACTTTCTTCAATGATAGGTTGTATGGTTGTAGGCTATATTGATAGGCTCTCAATAAGCCATAATTACCTAGGCTTATCCCTTTTGTATATATACCCTCTTCTCAGATTAAATATAATATGCATTTGAGTCATTTATTTCTACTCTTCACATGAATATATGATGGTTAACCAATTTATCTGCTTGCAGGGCACTACACTTTATGTCACACTTGAACCCTGTCCTATGTGTGCTGGTGCCATTCTTCAGGCAAGAATAGAGACTCTTGTATGGGGAGCTCCCAATAAGCTTCTTGGGTCTGATGGTAGCTGGGTTAGGTATGCTAAGCACGTACCTTCTTTTTGTATTCTTTGTGTTGTTGCAAGGGTTATGAGAGTTTTTATAGTTCATCTGTACTTGCCACTCTTTACCAGTACAACATTACAAAACTTTTTACGCTTGTTTGATTTCCATATTATGCACGGTTATGTTGATTTTTTTTTTTTTTTGGGACCAAGATGCTTATGTTGATTATACCTATGAAGGTTGCTAAATTTTTGGGTGCACTAAATACATTCACTGTTTTGGGATGCTGAATCCCTTCATATGTTATGCACCAGCGAGTGATGATAGAACTGTATGGAACTTAACAGCTTCACCTGAAAAATATGCTCTATAGATGGCATTCTGTGTATACACCCGTTGTCAAAATACTTGGTTCTTGAACCGGCCTGCCTATATTTACTCTTTCCACACAACCAGATAACCCAGTTTGGCCCTTTTTGTCGTTGTCTTACTCCTTATCATCCTTGGCTCAGTTGTATGCGTTGAATAGAACGTACAAGTTTTCTATTAAACTGTATTTACTATCTTATTTTGGGAGTTGGGATGTTAGATTCACTTATATATTAACAAGTTTCTAGAATAGGCAGATAGAACATGAAAGTTTGAGCCAAAGATACGTTGTGTAGATGATTTCTCTAGATACAAACCCGCTGTCAAGATACTTTGCCTTGTTGCATTCGTGCCAATTTGCTCTTTTATTAGAACCATTTTGTATTGCATGTCATAAAATAATGCTTCAAAATTCAAGTATGGGTTAAGCATCAAAGGTACCATATTTTCACTGGTGGGACGTGCAATTGAAACTCTTCTACTTTTTGCAGACTTTTTCCTGATGGGGGAGAAAATAGATCAGAAACAAAAGAAAAGCCAGCTGCCCCAGTTCATCCTTTCCATCCAAAAATGAACATAAGAAGGGGAGTGTTGGCCTCAGAATGTGCTGAAGTGATGCAACAATTCTTTCAGCTGAGAAGGAAAAAGAAGAAAGAACCATCGCCATCTCAACCAAGCCAAACTTCTCACCATCATCCATCCAAACTTCTCCAAAAAATGCATAACATTTTCCACATGATGTTTTGTTTGTAAGATCAGACATGAGAAGAGATCTTAGTGAAAAGTGATGCGTACATGATCTCATTAATTATGGTTTTTGTAATTTCAATTACAGGAAGAAGATTCTGGAACTGTGTAGAAACGTTCGAGAGTTGATGATACTTTATACTCACGTTAGTGTCTTAGAACTCCAGAGATTAACGGAATGATAAAAACAGAGTACTGACAGATAGGTCAAATGTAGAAATGGTTGGTGAGATAGTGTTTTCAATAAATGCAATTCCATTTTTCTTAGTCATCCTACATTTCCTTCTTCTCTTTTCAATCTTCACCCAACGTTTTACCTTCTTAACAACAACAACATAATAATAATCAAAAGCATGTTTGCGTAAAACACAAAGGAGCATGAAAGACATTTAAACAAAGCCTTGGTCATCAGAAACAAGGGCGGTTAGGTGTGGGTACCAATTTCGACACTTAATGATTTTAATATCACTTCAGACCTAAAGGAAAAAAAGAAGAAGAAAAATGACATTTGTATGATACTTTAAGGTATCATTTTATTCTACTTGCATGCTCCTAAAAGTATAAAACTGATGCAGCATGCCTCTAACAAGCCTGAAAAATTAAGATAAATAAATAATGTTGTTCAAATTACAAACTCAGTTATATTCAATTCTTAAAGTTTGAAAGTTTGCCAACAAAGCACACAGGGAAAATGACAGTGAGGTTCTGAGTGATTGAATTGCTAATAGTTAAGTCTCGATATGCTTTTTTAAAAATGAATTGTAAATATACAATTAAGATTTTTGTTTACAACCGTGTGAATTGATATCTATCACTGATTTTTTGTTTTTTTGGCAACCTAACTATCATCAGTATGTTCATTTATCAACTTTTTACTAATATAAGATTGGAAGGCGAATTGGTTAATTTAGAAAAAAAAATTATTGTTGGAACAATATTTTTGTTCATCTTAGAATGAGACAGTTGATGGTAGCGAAGTCCATTTTCAAGCTTCATTATGAGATGATTAGCAGAAATGTCAAATGTCACTGCTCCATGAAGGCTACATCTCTCCTTCCGCCAGCAAATGACCCTCACAACAAGTCACAACCTTCTAAGCTATTCCCTTTTTCTTCTTCGAACTCCATAAATAACTAACAACCCCTCTACCTGTTTCCACCATCATCTTCCTCCTCCTCCTCCAACAATGGCTGCTTCTGCAACCCTCTCAGTTGTATTGGCCCTAGCTTGCCTTTCCTTCACATTACCTTCCCTCAATGCTCAATCACCAGCTGCTTCCCCTTCTTCACCTACATTGCCTACTACTCAACCTCCTGCAGCTGCAGCAACTCCTCCTACTACCGCTACACCACCACCAGTGGTGGCCTCTCAGCCCCCGGCAACTCCTCCTCCGGTGACATCACCGGCTCCCAAGGCGACTGCTCCGGCTTTACCACCGCAGACTCCACCTCCTACAACCCCACCACCAGCAACCCCACCACCTCAGACTCCACCCCCCACAACCCCACCACCAGCAACCCCACCACCCGTCTCTGCTCCTACAGTGCCTCCACCAGCTCCAGCTTCACCCCCACCACCAACGGTGGCCCCTACGCCGGCGCAGACACCTCCTCCGGCTCCTGTTCCGGTTAAGGCACCAGCTCCGGCCCCATCACAGCCTCCACCAATGCCAGCCCCAACACCAGTGATAGAGACACCAGCACCTGCTCCGTCTAAACACAAGAGAAGAAGACATAGGCACAAGCACAGACATCAAGCTCCGGCTCCGGCACCAGCAGTTGCTCAAAGCCCGCCGGCCCCACCTACCAAGGCAACAACAGAGGATACACAAATTACACCGGCTCCATCCCCTAATCTAGATCTGGTAAAGTCTTTGATCAGTTAAACATTTCTTAAAGTCAAACTAGTCCCTGTCCATCGCTTGTTTTCTTTATTGTTCTTGAAAATTAACTGCATTTTCCATGTTTTGTTTCACAGAATGGTGCATCTTCGTACCTGCATGAGGGAAGAAAGTGGGCCATGTCTGGATTTGCTGTTGCCATTTTGATAGGCATTCTGATATAGTGAAAATGGGATTCGCTTACAGAAAGTTGTTTGGTTTTCAAAGTGATGAATCATTTTCTTATGTATAGGAATGAATAATGAGCTATTACACCTATTTGGCATTCTTTCTTTTTCTATTATTGTATGCATTTGTAACTTGGGTTGCATATTTTAATGAAATACGATTTTTTGAATCAGTCAATAGAACAAAATCATGCAGAAACAGAGTTCATAATGAACAAATCAAACTTGATCTCACATTCTGTGAACCAACATGTTATATTTCTTTACATGAAAATCAAGAGAGTATCTACTTGTCCATAAGTGAATTTACAAGTTTTGATATGTATTTTAACAACTAACAATAACAAAATAATCAATATGATTGGAAAGCTGGGCCTAATGAATATAAGTGACTTAGACTTTTGTCCTTTCATTTTATATTAAATCAAAACCCAGAGTGTCTGTTTTTTTTTTTTCTTTCATATTTGTTGATGCGAATTTAAAGGGAAGGATAAAATTGTTGTGTTTTCTAAACTGTCGAGATTAACTGATAATTATCCTACAAAAATTAAAATAGAGGAAATTATTGAACCAATCTGTATATTAATTTTCCCTTTCATTTGGTTTAGTTGAGTTTTGACTATAAGTTGATCAATTGATGATTAGTTAAAATCTTATGGGTTTATATTGGAAAAGTGAATTAAAACAACTATTGAATAATAATATATTTATTTATTTAAAACTTTGAAGAAAAGTCTTCACTTATTTTTTTCATGAATAATATAGACAAGGACACAAGTTCTATTGTTTTGTCTTTTATCACACATTGTTCATGAATTGTAAGCAAAGACATGTACTTTGTTGCTTAGCTTCTAAGCTTTTCTTTTCTCTTTATCATATCTCTTTATATTGTATTATTCAATTCGTCTTCTCTTTCCCTTTCTCATGGAATGTATAGATTATCTCAATAACAATGAGTCATCAATAAAATTATAAGAAGTGAAAAGAGTCACAAATGATTAATAGTGTGATTTTTCATCTTAAGCTCCATTAAAAACATGGACCTACTCGATATTTAAGCAAAGTTGACTATATCGAATATACAGGTAAATATGTATAATCAACCTCCTTTTATGATAATGGTGGGTTACGCTTAAATTAAATTAAATTATAAAAATGGTACTACTTCCAATTCTAAATATAGAAGCTAAACAAAAAATTTACTTTGGTCTTTAAGTATAAAATATTAATCTGTTTGGTTTTCTAAATTTGTAACTTATTCTCTAAAGTATTCTTAATAACTACATATAGTAAAAAGCTTTTCATCAAAAGGTAGTTACATTGCATGTTATTAGAAAGGGTATTTTTCAAAAACCAATACAAATTTGTTACCAATAACTACCTTACCTAATTTTTTAAATTTCTATAAATTAATTATCTAACTCTTATGTTAAGGACGAGAAAGAGTATTCTATAAGGATATTGGATTTACTTTAAGAGAACCAAATTGGCAATTTTGTCCTTGAGACTTTGCCACTAGAATTTTTTTTTTTTTTGTGTGAATACTATATATGGTTCTGATTTGAATGTTATGTCTTTGAAAAGACTGTGTCGTATTTTTGAGTTCAAAATATATCATCATATTCTGCCGCTTGTCATTCTTAACTCATTTACCTGGAAAAAAGTGCAAATTTGGGAAAATAAAAGAGTGGAAGAAAGCAGTAAGAGGAAATAAGAGGAACTGCACTTTCTCAGAAATTTTCTATTCATCAATGTCCTAGAAAAATTGTGTGTACAATTGGAGAATTTCTTAGGTACTAGTACTGCTAACTGACTGTACAACGAGTCAATAAAAACTCAATCACGTGGGCGTTTCAGATGGTTTTTTTTTTTTTTGGGGGGGGGGGGTTCACTGATACACCTGCTTTAGTGAATTTTTATTGGCTCCTTGCACCACCTGATTATGTTCCTCATGAATCCTAAGAATGATGATATTGACAAATCTGCCGGCGCCGGGGAGAACAAAATAATCCAGCAAGCTGATCTGAATCACATCAACTTGAAGAATGAGGACAACTACTCTCTGTGCTGCTAGAAGAAGGAACCTCTGATCTGTACTGAATGAATGGAATCAGGTTCTTCAACACCACATATATGACAATTTGCTTTGTTATTGCTATCATTATCATCATTATTACTATTAGTCTTCCTCATCCACTTCATGAAATGGAAGCGGCACTGTCTTCACTGCTCTAAACTTGCCAGCATTGTTCAGGTGCTCATTCTCCAACCTGAACCATTCAGAGTTTTGTTTTTTTCACTTATTAGACCAAACTTGACATGATTGAATGTCACGGAGAAAATTTCAGATAAGCCAGAATCGTTGGTAGTGTATAAACAAATGAAGCTTACCTGTAGAAATTCCATAGCCCTCGTCTGATGACCTCAAGAGATGCTAAAAAGAAGCTGGTTACTCGATAATCCACGTTCTCAAAACTTGAATGGACCACAGTTTGTAGCCAAGCAAGCCTCAGAATAAGGTTTAATCCCTGCATAAATTCCCACCAAAGATTTTCCATGGTTATGATCAGACTTGGGAGAGCCCATGATTGTGACATGAAAAGAAATCATAAGCTGTTGTTTCCCATAATGTCTAAGACAACATCAAATTCTCTGCTGGTATCTTATCTCTTCCTTGCACTACTTTAGGAATCTCACTTTTAACTAGTATAATGGCTTCATCATCAGCATTTACTATCTTTATTAGAATATGTTTATTCCCCGCTATATGGCATTTTTATCTTTAACTTCTGTTGTCTTGGACCAGTCCAGAGTTTCTAATTTGGATTGAGCAAAACGGAGACAGAAAGAAGGAAATGTTCAATTTCCTTTCTTTCCATTCTGCATTATCCTCAATCCAAATACACCTTAAGATAGGTAACTTCTGGTCAAAATTGTAAGCTAAGACAAATCAGACTCATGGATTCTTTTAGTTAATTTTGACTCTAATTCGAATTTGAACTCAGACCCCTCGGCCCCGGGCTCTTTTAGTATAGTAAGAGAGGGGTCTGATATGTACCATGGATAAGTAGTAAATGAATTTTCGTCGAAGCATTAGTTCATTCCTTAGCCAAGGATTCTTGGAGTTCAATTGGAGCAAACCCCAGTCCTTTACAAAGTCCCAATACAATTGGTACACAGTCGCTGCACTTGATATGATCACAACAAGACATAGCCATCCAACAGTTCTATCCTTCTCATAAGCAACTTTAGCACCAGCTGCCAACATAGCTGATACATATTTCCCTAAATTCACTAGGTGGCTTGTCTGTCCTTCATCAAACCATCTCCTAGCACACTACAAAAAAAAAAAAAAAAGCCAATAAATCAGTTTTATTGGATTTGGATTCAAATGAACTAAGCACAAGTTTAGTATGTTTATGTTCGATGAATACCATCTAGATAAAGAAGAACTTAAATGCTCTACCTGCATAGCCCTCCAATAATAGGGTAGGAATGAAACTGCATAAGCAAGATCTCTGTAGTGTTTAGCCCTCATGCAGTAGCCATAGTCCTGGGTTTTGTAGCTCCCAGTCATATAGTAACATGCTACATACTCAAGGTTCCTAAGCATTGGAACCTGTACAGGAAAAGGAAAAATTATTAGACAAGCTTTAATTGATTTCTTCCCACTAAAAGAAAATTAAATAGACTTCTGTTGTATTATCCAAAAAAAAACAAAAAACAAAAGCAAAGCTACCTGACTACAGAGTTGGTCAGCCATGAAAAAATCCAGCATCACAACCTGGAGAGACAGTACAGAAGGAGATAAGGCTGTGTTCGACATAATACGTGTTAAGGAATGATATGACTGTGTTTTATGCAATATTATGATAGTCTAAAAACTAATGAGTACATAAAAGAATGAAGTAGCGTATAGTCAACAAATCCCACTTTATGAAACACATTTTGACGAGTCTTATGTCGGATCATTATAAGTCAACTGATATCATATTTATACCTAACAAATAAAAACATTATACCTTGTAAAGTGGTGACAAAACAATGTTCCTTATCACACAAAGGAAACAGTAACGGCTTGAGCGGTAGATAATATTGAAGGGGCAAACTAGTATTAGTAAGAAGACCTGCAGAGTTATTCAACACATTAAAATCTTAATCCATTCAAGAAAAATATGCCAAGTAAAATTTGGCAAAGAAATTACCAGTAAAAGTAGGCCAGGAATGGCTTGAACTTGGGCATAAGAATAGCCTTTTGTGAGCAGAGTCAGATGAAGAAACATGACTCCAACCACAGCAGTCATAGCCGTAGTACAAATCAAAAATACATCTCTATACTTAAGTTCCTTTGTAGGGGACAGCTCAAAAATGAAGCTGTAGTTTATACGAGTCTTTCTCCAAGCAAAAATGTTGCAGCCATACAGGAAAAAGTGCAGGAACATAAGGCTGAACATACTGCAAAAAAGAAACACCAAGTTAAGCTGTTTCCTTAAGATTATATGTAATACAGTCAAAGATCTAAATAACATAAATGAATTTCATGGCTAAGAATAGGTTTTGCTTACCTAAGCACAGGGTAGACAGTTTCCATATAGACTGAAGTTTGTTGCTGTCTTCGGTACAGTCCAGTTATATGAGCCATTACCACATATCCACCAAAAAGTGCCAACAGGCATCCAGCAAATAAACCTGATTATGTTTGAAAAATACAGTAAATTACATGTCAATAATATATAAATCAACTTGATATGCACTTTTTTGGTTCATTTCAGTCCTCTAAACACAACATTGTTAAGCTGACTGGTCAACAGAGATTAGTTACTTGATTTAAAGTAAAGCTGATAAGATTGCTAAATGTTTACTTGACCCTAAAAGTAGCATTTATTGGCTTTAACTTTTACACAAGATTTGATGATATTTGATTGGCTATAATTTATCACTATAGCTGCAACAAAAGGAGGCGTCAGTGGAAGCCATTTAGAGAGTTTGAAATCCTTCACTGTATCTTTTGATGGGCCTTTTAGTTCATTCTTTGTACGGTCATAGTGGCTCAAACACTTAGCAGAAGAAGATGGGACCTGTATTTTCCATTCACTTTTAACTTGACGAGGCTTTTGTGAACCTAGTGCCTTAATGGGTCCATTTTGTGTTTCCTTTAAACACTAATGCTCACAAAGC